AAAAGTATGAATATAGTCCTTCCTTTCTATAAAGTAAAAGAAATCTGGCAAAATTTTTGTTTAAATTCACTGACCATCAGTTTAAAAGTGTTTGAACTCTCTTATGCTTTAATTTTAATAGGGTAAGTCTAATACTAAAATGACACTTCTCTGTGGAAAACCTTTATTTGTTTAACACAATTTCACAATTGGAAAAGGACTGAAGGAATAATAGAATAATAGAACTCCTGGATATCTGGTTGTTTCAACCAGAGTTCCAAAATATTAAATTTACCATATCGTTTATTTGTTTTATTCTCTCTTACATACATTTTTTTCTGAATTGTTTAGAAGTAAATTGCAAACATGGTTTTTTTAATCCTAAATATTTAATGTGCATTTTCTAAAAGCAAAGACTTCTCTCACATAACCACAGTACAATTATCAAAATCAGAACATCAGAACTGATGAAAATACTGTTTACTCTATAGACCTTATTCAGACCTCACCAGGTATCCTAATAATGCCCTTATAACAAAAAGAAACCCAAGATCATGCAGTATATTCAGTTATGTCACTTCAGTCTCCTTTAATCTTGAACAGTTTCTCTGTGTTTTTTTTGTCTTTCATGACCCTGGCATTTCGTAAGAGTAGGCCATATATTTTGTGGAATGCCCCTCAGTTTAGGCTTTTCTGATGTTTCTTCATGATTAGATTTACATACTGCACTTTTAGCAGAAATACCAAAACTTGCTCCTGAGTTCTCAATGAAATTAGTCCCATTATTAGCAAAGCTATTTTTTTTTTTTTTTGGTTATTTATCTACCGCAAAGTTCTAATTTTATACTTTGTGAGAAATAAATAACCTGTTAGTAGATACATTATGTAAATATACTATTACTCCTCAAATTATCACCCACTATTTTTACCATCCAATGATGATTCTTGCCTGAATGAATGATTATAGTAATTACCAAATACCAAAAAAAAAAAAAAAAAAACTCATTGCCATCAAGTCAATTCTGACTCATAGCGACCCCAATGGGTTTCCAAGGCTGTAAATCTTTACCAAAGTAGATTGCCCCTTCCTTCCTTCCATGGATGGAAGTAATAGTGATTACTATTACCAAATAATCACTAATTCCATTATTCTTTCTATATTTATTATTCTTTCTACATTTTCATTATTCTTTCCACATTTATTAGTTGGCTTTCTACAGTAAGGAAGTGTTTTCCTCTCCTCATTTATTTGTTATTGTTTTATAATTTATATCATCATGGACTCATGAATTACTTTCTTCAATACTTTATCATTCATTCTGGGATTTTTTGATTCTTAAAATTATCCTAGATTTGACAGTGGGAGCTTTTTCAAACTAGCTCTCAGATCCTTTCAACATGGCCCATCATTCTTTCAGCATTTCCAGATTTTGGGGATGAGGAACTGTTCCAGGGGCATACTGTACTTTGCCTACTCTAGACCTGGGATCACCCAGTTCTCCAATAAACCTTGGTCACTTTTAGTAGAGAATGACTTTAGAAACCAAGATCTGGGCACTGGGGTGGTAGGTATGCTCATTACTGTTGGGATGTCAATGTTTCTACACCCTCTCATCAACCAGAACTGTGAAATAGATATATGTATATATGTTGTTGTTGTTAGTTGCTGTCAAGTTGGCTCCAATTCATAGTGACCTTATGTATAACAATAAAACGTTGACTAGTCTGGACCATTTTCATGATCTTTGGTGTGTTTAAGTCCATTTTTGCAAATATTCTTTCAATTCATCTCATTGAGGGTTTCCCTCCTTTTTCTTGGCCCTCTATTTACCAAATGGAATGTCCTTTTCTAGCCATTGGTCTTTCATGATGACTTGTTCAAAGTAAATGAGCCACAGTCTCTCTATCTTTGCTTTTAAAGAACATTCTGACTGTATTTCTTCTAAGATTGATTTGTTTGTTCTTTTGGCAGTTCTTCTGGCAAAATACATTCAATTTTCTTTGCTAGCACCACAGTTCAAATGCATCAATTCTTCTTCTGCTTTCTTTTTTCATTATACAAGATTACATGCTCATGAGGTAGTTGAAAAGACCATGGCTTGGCTCAAACACATATTAGTCATCAAAGTGATACCTTCGTTTATTAAAACCTTAGTCTTTTGCAGCAGATTTGCCCAACATAATACATCACTTGGTTTCTTGACTGCTATTCCATGGACAGTGATTGTTGATTCAAGTAGAATGAATGCATTGGTCTTGCAAAATTCTATCATGCAATCTCCAGCATTATTTCTGTCACCCAGGCCAAATTTCCCAACTACCAGTAATTCTTCTTTGTTCCAACTTTTGCATTCCAGACGTCAGTAATAATTAACACATTTTGATTGCATGTTCAGTTAATTTCAGACTGCAGAAGTTGATGAAAATCTTCAATTTCCTCATCTTTGGCTTTGGTGGTTGGTGCATAAATTTGAATATTAGTCGTATTAACTGGTTTTCCTTATAGGTGTATGGATATTATCCTAACATTGACAGCATTGTACTTCAGGACAGATCTTAAAACAAAGGTGTGATGATGAATGGCACACCGTTCCTCTTCAATTTGTCATTCCCAGAATAGTAGATCATATGGTTGTCTGATTCAAAATGGCCAAAACCGGTCCATTTCAGCTAACTAATGCCTAGGATATAAATCTTTACACATTCCATTTCATTTTTGACAACTTCCAATTTTCCTAGATTCATACTTCATATATTCCATGTTCTGATTATTAATGGATATTTGCAGCTGTTTCTTCTCAATTTGAGTTGTGGCATGTCAGCAAATGGAGGTCCCTAAAACTTTACTTTATCCATATCATTAAGGTTGGTTCTATTCCAATGATGCATCTCTTTTCCAGTCATATTTTGAGTGCCTTCTGACTTAAGGGGCTTGTCTTCCTGCACTGTATCAGACAATGTTTCAGGGCTATTCATAAAGTTGCCCAGTAATGCATCAGACAGTGTTTCTCTGCTATTCATAAGGTTTTCCCTGGACAATTGTTTGAGAAGTGGATGGCCATTTCCTTTTTCCTAGTTTGCCTCAGTGGGCAAGCCACGCTGAAACCTGTGCACCATGTGCAACCCTGGTGGCATTTGAAACACCGGTGGTACAGCCTAAGCCTCACAACAACATGCAAGCCACTGTAGTATGACAAACTGACAGACAAGTTTGTCTCCCTTAGCTGTTCAAAACCTCTCCACCCTCCCCTTCCCTGGAACCTGTGGTTCTGTCTTCACCGGCTTTTCCCTCACTTCCTGCCTCTTGGTGTGGAGCCTGTCTACCTCCCCTCGCCTGGATCCTATGGCTCTGTCTTCCCCGGCTTTTCCCCTGCTTCCTGCATATGAGGTGACTGAAAATACCATGGCTTAAGCATCTTAGTCTTCAAAGAGACATCTTTGCTCTTCAGCACTTTTTAGAATTTTGCTAGCATGTGATATTGATTCTGCTCAGTAATTTCCACATTCAATTTAGCCTTTCTTTGGATCTCTTCCAGTCAGTTACCCAGGTAACTGTTTTCCAAAGATTTTGACAAAGACAAATAACACCAAGTTGCTAAAGCAAACAGAGAAATGATGAAGAGGTGAAAAGAAGAATTCAAAGAGCACCTCAAGAAGGCAAGGTAAAATATTATTATGAAAAGTGAAAAGACCTAGAGTTAGAAAACCAGAAGGAAATAACACAATTAGCATTTCTTGAATTGAAAGTACTGGAGAAAATCTAAGCCTCAAATCACAATACTAAATGATTCTATTGGTAAAAAATTGAATGACACAGGAAACATCGAAAAAAGATGGAAGGACATACACAGTCACTGTCTCTAAAAGAACTAGGCAACATTCAACTATTGCAGGAGATAGCATATGATCAACAACCACTGGTGCTGAAAGAAGAAATTTAAGCTGCACTGAAGGTATTGGTGAAAATTAGGGTTCAATTGATATTGATGAAATATAAATTGAGATATATGTATAAATGTGTTTATATATTAACACACACACACTCACACATACATATACATGTACACAGATTTTCCTCTTTTTCACAGTTGCATAGTATTTCATTGTGTGGTTTCACCATAATTTATTTAGCTACTAATTGATGAACTCATATTTAGGTTGCTTTCAGTATTCATCTATGACAAACAATACTGCAATGAATAATCTTGTATGTATATATTTTCATGTTATGGGAGTAGGTGTATATCTTCAGAATAAATTTCTGGAAGTGTAATTGCTGAGTCAAAAAGGAAATGCATATGTAGTTTTTAATTATTGCTAAATTCCTCTCCATAAGGATTGCACCAATTTGTATTCTCACTAGCAATGTATGAGAGTGCCTGTTTCCCCAAAGCCTCACTAACAGAATAGTACGCTTTTAATTTTTGCTAATCTCATAGTGAAAAATGGCATTTCAGTGTAGCTTTAATTGTAATCTATCTTACCATGAGTAATGTTGAGCATCTTTCCATATGTTTAAAGGTCACTTTTGTATCTTTTTTGTGGGATATTAACTCTGTCCTTTGCAATTTTTTTTTTTTTTTAAGAAGGATATTTTAGTGGAGTTTTCTGCCTCTAAAATTAATTTAAATATGTTTTTTGTTGGGCACATTCTAAGTGCCAAGCAATGTTTGCAGTAATGAGGATAAAATAATGAACAAAATCATTTGGAAGGAGTTTACTGAACATACCTGTATCTGAAGTTTAAAACACAAATAAGATTTTAGTACTTAGTGATGACTATTCTGCAACTTTGAAATAACTTCCCAAAATTCCAAAATCCTATAGATTCATTCACACTTACCTAAATATATTTTAAGTAAACATCCATTTGTAACTTTTTCTAGAAATGATCAAATGATCATGTCAAGGAGCTGAATAATTATTTCTGGCAACAATACAATACAGAAAAATTTCAAGAAGGCATGCAAAAACTGTTTGTAAAAAGTAACAAAACTTTTAATTTTTTTTTTTTCATATAGTTATATATCTTCAGAATGATCCACGTAGCAGACAGCTCTGGACAGACCGATGTTTTCTCTCAATGTGTAACACACTGCAGTTTTCCACAATGGTGGCATCAAGCCTTTTATAATTTTTTCACCTTCAGCTGTCTCTTCATCATCCCTCTTCTTATCATGTTGATCTGCAATGCAAAAATCATCTTCACCCTGACACGGGTACTTCATCAGGATCCTCACAGTACGTATTCATTAGAATTAGTCTTAATTGTGGTAATTTTTAAATAGTAATAGTCAAAGCTGAGAGGCACTTTCTACATACTAGATACTATTCTGAAAAATTCACATATATTAACTTATTTAATACTTACAACAACCCCATAAAGTATGTACTTTTATTATGTGCAGTTTACAAATGATGAAACTTAATGTCTCCTGCTGTTCTAAACTTATACTACAAAGCTGAAAATGAAAGGATAACTATCCCATTTACTCAAGATAAGCATTAGCAAACTGTTCCCAGTGGATCATACACAAAACCAAAAACAAGGTGATGTTGAGTCAATTCTGACTCATGGAGACCCCATGTGTGTCAGAGTAGAACTGTGTTCCATAGAGTTTGCAATACCTGATTTGTTTAAGTAGATTGTCAGGCCTTTCTCCCAAAGCACTTCTGGGTAAACTAGAAATTCCAACCTTTCAGTTAGTGGGATAGTGTGTTAACCATTTGCACTGGTAGTGTAGTGTCTAAGGCATTCGACTGTTAACCAGAAGGCTAGTGGTTCAATCCCACTAGCCACTCCTTGGAAGTAGATTAGGCAATCTACTTCCGTAGTGGTATCACTGGAGGTATCACCTCGGAAACCCAAGGAGAGGTTGCTATGAATCAGATCCGACTCAACAGCTGTGAGTTTGGTTGTTGTTGTTGTTGCTGTTTTGCACTATTACTAAACAATCTACTTCCATACTGATACCACCTCAGATAACCAAGGAGAGGTCGCTACGAGTTGGGTCTGACTCAATGGCACATAACAACAACAACATTACTAAGCACTACATTTCTAGAATATAGTAAAGTAAAACCTTTTAAATGCTAATCAGTAGACCTGCTAAAATTAAGCTGTTCTATTACATACTCAAAATTTCCTATCCCTTCACAACATGAAATATGCATATTTCTTTGTGTATATGTATACACTTGCATGAATTGGATGTATGAAATACTGTGTAATTGACTATTTCATCCAAAACTTCACAGATGTAGTTGTGCCTCTTTTGTTTCAGTAATTAGATGAATCTCCAAAAACTACAATTTGACTTTATGAAGGACGCATGGCTATATTGATGTGACATCCAAACAACCATAGCATAGTGTATAAATTATACCTGTTAAAACTTAACAGGGAAACCATCTTACCATATTATAGAGTGCTTACTTACCAGTATTTTCAAAAGGAGATAATTATGATGATGCTCTGTAATAGGTATTTGGTCAGTTTTCACCCTCTAGCACAAAACAGTATTTGATATGCCCAATAAAGTATACTGCAAAAACAATTTGCCTTCAAAATCTTATCCTCAAGACATTCACTTCTATTGGGGCTATCTAAGAAGTGCATAGGAGGTCTGGTAGCATAGTGCCTAAGGTATTTGACTGTTAACCAGAAGGCTGGCGGTTCAAACCCACCAGCCATTCCTCGGAAGGAAAGTTGGGCAATTTACTTCCATAGTGATACTGCCTCGGAAACCCAAGGAGGAGTCGCTATTAGTCGGATCCGACTCCACAGCAGTCTGTTGTTTGTTGTTTAAGAAGTGCATAGGAAGAATAAGAAGACAAATCCCAAAACAAAGGTTAAGAAGTATGAGCAGTGCATAAGCATAAAACCAAAAAAAAAAAAAAAAAAAA